CCGACGTGAGCGATGAAGAGGGGAAACAGCGTTACATGGCCGACTTCCTGAAGAATGAAGGTATTCAACTAAAATATTCAAAAATTGAGACAAATCCGGCAAAAAGACAAGTGGCAAAGTTATGTCTCAACAGTCTTTGGGGAAAGTTTGCTCAGAAAAATTATCAGACACAGACCAGCATCTTATCAGAACAGCAGGAATTTTTTGAACTGTTGTTTTCAGGGAACAAACATGTGAAATATTTCACTTTCTGAATCCTGAAAACGTGCTTGTCCAATGGGGATGGACAAAAAAAAATCTATTAGTCCTCCAAACAAAACTAACAACGTCTTTATCGCGGCGTTCACTACGGCCTATGCTAGATTAAAACTGTTGAGTTACCTTCAAAAGCTGCAAGACAGTTTTGTATTTTGACACAGACAGTATAATCTACATTACCAGAAAGGGTCAGACTCAGCTGGAAACGGGGAATTATTTGGGTCAATTAAGCGATGAGTTAAATGGGGATAGCATAGAACATTTTGTGTCCACAGGTCCAAAGAGTTATGCTTATCAGACCCGTCAGAAAAAAGTGGTTTTGAAAGCAAAAGGCATAACACAAAACATGCATGCTTCTGAAAATGTCAATTTTGAGAGCATGAAGAGGCTGGTTGATGCTTTTCTCCAGGGTCAGGAGACTGTTCTATAGGGATTCCTCAGCAAACCATTAGACGTGATAAAAGTGGGTTTCACTTGAAGAATGCATCATTCATGAAAAAATTTCGGGTTGTGTATGACAAGAGAAGACTGTTTAAATGCGGTAAATCCTTCCTTTTGGCTACTAGATTCTAGTGGAAAAAAAAAAATGTCTTGTTTTACCGAGCCAAAAGAAGTTCATTTTGATTTTAGACTAAACTGTCCTTTTTCTGCAATCATTTCTGGCCCGTCTGGAGCGGGTAAAACTCTTTTGTCAAAATGTTGATGGATAATCTTGAAGATGTATTGAACTGTGTACCGGAAAATGTTGTCTGGAATTATACTTCATTTCAAAGTTTGTACGCTGATTTGCAAAGAAGAAATAAAAGAATTAACTTTGTGAACGGTCTCCCATCTTCATTTCAAGATGAGGAATTATTTCCTCCAGATCAATCTCATCTGGTAATTCTAGACGACCTCATCTTTCAGGCTGAAGAAAGTGAACAGGTGGCCAAGATATTCACACAGTTTCGCCACCATGCCAACATACTAATACTAATATTACTACTAATTAATATGATTAATTAATTAATATGACTAATTAATACTAATTACGCAAAATGTGTTTCAGCAAGGAAAGTTTAGTCGAACCATTAGCTTGAATGCTGACTATATGATTCTATTTAAAAGTCCAAGAGATAAACTCCAAATCACTATATTAGCCCGCCAAATTTTCCCATCCCAGAAGGATTTTTTCCTGGAGAGTTTTGAAGACGCTACCAGTCAGCCTTTTGGATATTTAATCGTAGATCTTACACCAAAGTGTCC